AAACAAAAATCACGCTTAACTCTCCTCGACAATCGAGGGCAAGAAAAAAGAGGATTGGGTAAGTACTTTATCTCTTGTTTTTCATATTCATTCTTTATTTATTATTATAAGATTAACTAAAATTAAAAGTACGGATCTTTTTAAGTTATTTAAGACTAGATTAGGTAAAATAAGTGATAATAATAATATAATTAAAATTATTCACGAGGCACGCACGCGAGCAGCTCGTGGGTAATGTAATTCGATAGTGTGACGTGAGCTGCATGTTCCCGAAGTTCAAAGAGTTATAGACACGGTTCAAAGGGCAATAAAACAATAAAATTTAATTATAAAGAGATGTATAATGTTACGAACTTAGAGCTACTTAGGATAAACAAATGTAGTTTCATGTTATAATTTGAAGTCATTCTAGAAAGAAAAGAAGGTTAATTTAGGTTTATTTCGATTTTTTTTGGTGGTTATGAGGTCGGTCAAATTTACCAATTTCGTTTTGAGATACGGTGAAGAAAATAACATATAAACTATAAGGATTTAGCGAATAAAAGGTTTAAAATGCATTTAGGAGGTTTTAGGGATTACACAAAGGAAATTTGAGATTTTCGAGATGACGAAAAGTATTTTTAATTTTAACACGAAAATTACTTTGCACACGGACTATTCAAAACAAATACTCAATATATTCATGGACAAATGTTTATTTCATTAAAATTACTTCACTAAGAAATGTGACTTTTTCTATGTGAAAGATTTGTAATATTAACTGAAAGACTGCCAAATTTTGTGAAGATATACGCATTATATTGAGAGTTATAAGTATTAAATTTATATTGTTACGTCTCTGTTCGTTAGTTAATTTTCCGTAAATTCGTTCCGACGAAACTTTAGCGACACAAGTCCTTTCTTAAATAAAACTGGTTTATTCTTTCCCAATACAACTTTACGATACACTTAATTTCAACAGTCGCTCTATAACAACGCTATAACTCACGTCTCACGTGGCCAACAATATTTTGTCCGCATACATTCAATTACTCATTACACTGTCCCGTCACGTTGTGACCATCTTATATATATATACCAGACTACCCCCAATCTAGTAGTCTCCCGATAATTCATGAAGGTTCGATAAGGACGTGGCGTGATACTAGTCACGGGACCTCGCTGGCGCAACACTGCCCCCTCCCTAGTATTGTTCGTCCCGAACAATAGCCACTTGCATTAAACCAATAACAATTAACAATAACTTAATTAAATGTAAAGAATTACAAACACAAAATTACAATTCAACAAAGTCTCTCAATTTTACGGGACGTATCTTCTTCCGTACTGGTCTCCGTCTCGTTGGCTTCTGCTTCATATGGGGTTCATCTGCTTCATCAGGAAATGTTCTATCGTCGATAACAGTCACATCAGTGGTAGTAACTCCATCAAGAGCTTCACCGTTTCCCTTCTCAAAACTGAGTACAATTTCTTCTTCGATTGTGGTCTCTTCAGGTGGCACGTCTTCAGCAGCGTCATTTGTTCTGTTGTTCACTTCGTCCCAACTGAAATGTCCTGGACCGTTATAACTCCAA